TGTTGGACTATAACCTGGTGTTGTGTGACGTTTGACTTTGTCAAACCTATGTTACCATCTAGTCAGCTCACCCAGATCCCATGAGACTTTACTAACACCTTCCACCCCAACCTTAAGTTCACCTGGACCATCTCTGATACCTCTCTCTCCTTCTTGGACCTCTCTGTTTCCATCTTTGGTAACCACCTGGCAACTGATATCTATTTCAAGTCTACCGACTCCCACAGCTACCTAGAATACACCTCCTCTCACCCACCCTCCTGCAAGAATGCCATCCCCTATTCCCAATTCCTTCACCTCCGCTGCATCTGCTCCCAAGATGAGTCATTCCACTCCCGGACATCCCAGATGTCCTCGTTTTTCAAGAACTGCAATTTCCCCTCCACAGTGGTTGAAAATGCTCTCGACCGCATCTCTCGCGTTTCCCACAACTCACTCCTCACATCCCCTCCCCGCAATAAAAACAAAGACAGAATTCCCCTCGTCCTCATGTATCACCCCATCAACCTCTGGATTCAAAGCGTCATCCTCCGCCACTTCCACCACATGCAATCTGACCCCACTACCAAGGACATTTTTCCCTCCCCAACCTTTTCTGCCTCCCAGAGGGACCGCTCTCTCCGTGACTCCCTCATCCGCTCCACACTCCCCACTAGCCCCACCACCCCTGGCACTTTTCCCTGCAACCCCAGGAAGTGCTACACCTGCCCCTACACCTCCCCCCTTATCCCTATCCCAGGCCCCAAAAAAACCTTTCACATTAGACAGATGTTCACCTGCACATCTGCTAATGTGGTATATTGTATCAGCTGTTCCCGATGTGGCCTCCTGTACATCGGGGAAACCAAGCTGAGGCTTGGAGACTGCTTTGTGGAGCACCTACGCTCGTTTCATGACAAACGACAACACCTCCCAGTCACGAACCACTTCAACTCCCCCTCCCACGCCTTGGACAACATGTCCATCCTGTGCCTCCTCCAGTGCCACAACGATGCCACCCGAAGGCTGGAGGAACAGCATCTCATATTCCGCTTGGGAACCCTGCAGCCCAATGATCTCAATGTGGACTTCACAAGCTTTAAAATCTCCTCACCCCCGACCTCATCCCAAGACCAGCCCAGCTCGTCCCCGCCTCCTTGACCTGTCTGTCTTTTCTCCCACCTGTCCGGTCCTCCCACCTCACTGACCAACCCCCACCCCCACTTCCTACCTACTAGCCTCATCCCCCGCCTCCTTGACCTGTCCGTCTTCCCTCCCACCTACCCGCCCCTTCCTCCCAACTGACCAACCCCCATCCCAACTCCCTACCTACACTCACCTTTACTGGCTCCATCCCCGCCTCCTTGACCTGTCCGTCTTCTCTCCACCTATCTGCTCCTCTATTCACCTTCTATCATTGCCTCCCCCTCTCTCTATTTATTTCAGAGCCCCCTTCCCCTCCCCCATTTCTGATGAAGGGTCTAGGCCCGAAACGTCAGCCTTTCTGCTCCTATGATGCTGCTTGGCCTGCTGTGTTCATCCAGCTCTGCACCTTGTTGTCTTGGATTCTCCAGCATCTGCAGTTCCTACTATCTCAGGTATTTTTCAATATTGTGGTAAGGGAAATAGGGCATAATCTCATAAATAACAAAGTAATAATGATCAGTTCATCTGTTTGTAATAATATTGGTTGAGGGATATGCATTGGCTAGGACCCTAGAAAGAACGCTCCTGTTTCCCATCCAGTCGTGGCCAAGGGATGATTTGTGTCATTTTGAGCTGGTAGAGGAGGCTTTGTTTTAACATTTCGTCTGAAAGACAGCACCTGCAATAGTTCAATGTTTCCCAGTTAGTGATGGGATTGTTAGCCTGGTTTATGTGCTCATGTGTAGAGTGGGGCTCCGGTCCATGATACTTTGGCTCAGAAGGTGACAGTGAGACTAACTAAGCCATGACTGACATCTGGGTGAACGGAACAATTACAGAATTGAAATGTGTCAAGTTGAGTTGATATAAGTGACAAAGCTTTGTTATTGGCCTTAGAATTGTGTATTCAGAAGGGGAAAGTCAAC